AATATTTGTTTCTGCCGGCCGAAATTTTTTTTTGAAAGTTTTCTTTTTTTAGTTTTACTAACGTGCGTATTCGTTTTTAGAATTGTTTCATCAACTTTTCATATTTGATAAGTTTGATGTCTTTGGGTTGATTTTATAGGTATTATTTTTCGTAGGTCTTCTGCAATTTTTAAACTTTTTTCTGAGTGTTTTTTGATTTTTTTTCTATTTGGTTATTTTTTTCATTTTCATCTTAGTTCATGGCGAGAAACGGATTGGGCCTTTTTGTATCTTGAAGTTGGCGCGTAGGACACGCAGGTTGTTTGATTGTATGATTTTAAGCAAGTTTTTTGAAATTAATTAGGATTATTTTGATCATTTGACCGAGTTTTTTTTATCGTTTCCATTTATTTGTTCTGAAAAATAAATGGACTAAGTGTAGCCCCGATCGTTCTTATGTTTGAGGTAATTCAATTCTATAGGAATTGAAGTATTTTTTTCCTCTACTTTTTAGCCTACGATTTATTCAAAATGTTTTTTTTTTGGTTATTTTCTTTTGAAACATATCTTTACACTCGCGAACTATCTTTTTTTCCGAACTTAGTAGCAAATATTGGGGCACTTTCGGGGAAGCTTTACAGCTTATCGATGGCATGTGTTTTGACTTTCGAATACTAATAAGTTTGCACAGTTGATGCTTTTCTAATTCATCAAATGTACCGAAAAAAGCTATTTGTTTCAATCAACATAACAATAATAAAAACTCGATTTCATAGTTTTTCAAAATCATAATATCGCGCATTTTTTTGAAACGCATAATTTACACAAATTGTAGCTTTTTGCTTAGCGTTTTTTCATGCTAAATTGTGTCTTTTTGTATTTAGTGCTACTTTTGCTGCATCGAATTGGCAACATATTAACATAATCGACCATATTTGTTGGATACGAATTCGAAAATTTAGGTAGCGCTCACCCCTTTTTTCTATGGAATAATAATTTTTTTCCTTTAATTTTTAACTTTTTTGTGTTATTTTGTCAAGCAGGTAAATGTAGATCATGAAAATTGTCAGTATTTTCACACGCAAAACCTTCTGGTAGAAAAGAAACAAAAATATTTTTTCTGTTATATCTTTTTTTGGTTCTATGGTTTCTTATTGTTTTTGTACTAAAAATGCGTGGAGCGAGTCTTAGTGTTAGTAAGTGTGGTGTTTTAGGTTCGTAGAATTCCATTTGAAATCGATCTAATTGCGTATTGTTTCAATATGTCTAAAATTTTCTTTAAAAATTCAGCTTCGAAAAAAAGTCTAGAATATATTTCTAGAAAGTTTTTTCTTGCATTTTGGACTTGATTGCTTCTGCTGCGAAAAAATGTGGCGGGTGTCGTACGATATTCAAATATTTGTTTATGCCGGCTGAAGTTTTTGAAAGTTATCTTGTTTTGGTTTTACTAACGTGCGTAATTGTTGTTAAAATTGTTTTTATCAATTATTCGTATTTGATAAGTTTGATGTCTTTGGGTCGTTTTTTTTTAAGATATGAATCTTTCATATGCCTTCTTCGAGTTTTTGTTTAGGACAATTTTTAAACTTTTTTCTTAGTATTTTTTGATTTTTTCTATTTGGTTAGTTTTTTTTTTTATTTCATTTTCAGTTTAATCTTAGTTCATGGCAAGCAACAGATAGGGGCTTGTCTTATCTTTAATTTTGCGCATAGGACATATGCAGGTTGTTTGATTGTATGTTTTCAAGGAAGTTAATGAAATAAATTTGGATTTTTTTGATCATTCGACCGAGTTTGTTTATCGTTTCCATCTATTTGTTTTGAGTGAGAAATGAGTGGCCTTTGTGCAGCCCCGATCATTCTTGCAATTTAGATAATTGATTTTTATTTACTTGAAATATGTTTTTCCTTCAATTTTTTTCCAGACAATTTCTTTGATAAATTTTTTCTTACTTTTCCTTTGAAACCTCACTTTACACCTGTGAATTTTTTTTTCGAACCCAAGTCCCAATAATTGCTGCCACATTTGTGGCACTTTCACAGCTTATTGAAAGCATGTGCTTTGACTTCCGAATACTAATAGGTTTACACAGTTGATGCATTTCTAATTTATCAAATGTACCGAAAAAAGCTTTTTGTTTCAAACAATATATACTCCATTTCAGAATTTTTCCAACTCAATATATCGCGCATTATTTTGAAATGCGTAATTTACACAAGTTGTGGCTTTATGCTCTGCGTTTTTGTACATGCTAAATTGTGCCTTTTTTTATTTGGTGCTCTTTTTGCTGCATCGAATTGTCAATTTATTAGCATATTCGACCAAATTTTTTGCTCATGAATTCGAAAATGTATTTAGCGCTCACCGTTTTTAATAGATTGAAATTTTGCTCTTTAATTATCAATTACTTCTGTTTCTTTGTCAAAAGGGTAAATGTAATTCCTGAAAATTATCAGTATTTTTACACGCCAAAACTTTCTGGTAGAAAAGAAACATAAAAAGAATTTTTCTCTTAGAAGTTTTTTGTTCAGTTTTAGTTTTGGATTTAGTTTATTGTTTTTGTACTATAAAAGCGTGGAGCGAATCTTAGTGTTATTGAGTGTGGTGTGTTTTAGGTTCATAAAATTTCATTTGAAATCGATCTAATTGCGTTTTGTTTTAATATGTCTTAAATTTTCTTTATATGCATTCGAACTTATGAATTTTTAAAGAATGTATTTGATCTTCTATCTGGTACTTTCGCCAGTGAACAGACATAGATTCAGCGTGTCTGCTTTTTCAATTTCCGTTGGGATCGAAAATTGTCTTATGTGGATAGTATATTTACATACTCCGATTTGTTAATTTTTGTTCGTTTTTCAAAATTTCATCGACTTAAAAGTTTTTGTCGTATTTTTTATCGGCTTTGTGCCCTTCATTTTTTGTTGTATGAATTACTAAGTTGCTTAGGTGTGCGTATTTGTATCTGATTTGAGGAAGATGAATTGACTTTTTTGTCGTGTTTTTTAAAATATTTTTCCGGCTCAATGGTTGTCTTCTTAAATATTGTCGGCTATGTGACTCCTTCGAAAATATTTTTTTGCGATGCCTATTTAACATTCAATTGTCTTATTTGAAATTTTTTTTTCAAAAAGAACTTTATTTATGACAAATTGCAACAAACATGAAAATTGTGAGTTCTTGTTTTTTTTTGACATTTTTGCCGGGCCTCAGTTTTCGTTAGATTCAATGCCCACTTAATATGCATGCTATGTTTGAATTGTATTGCAAATCCTGCGAAGCTTTGCTCTGCCTATGTACAAAATTTTTTCACGCTCAAGTTTGATTTTTCGCGATTTGACCATTGATATCTCTTTAAGTGGAGTTCATTTTTTTTGTTGAAAGGAAAGCAAACGGAACTGTCGAACAGTAAAACTGTGAAGATCACAAAAAACGTAAATAACTTCTAATTTCGGAAGAAGATTTCAGTGCTTAGGTTTCTCACTGAAATAAAAGATTACGTATTGATGCAGTTTTCTCACGTAGGTTTAATTTTGAGAAAAACTATCGAATACAATTTGTTCTTGAAATTTAAAGAGCGGTAAGCACAAAATTTATAATTTTTGAAATTCGCAAGTTGAAGCATTTCAGCAAAACAACGCAAGGAAACAAAAAACTGACTTGTTTTTTTAAAAACCTTCGTTTGCTTGCGTTCATTGACCTTATGTTTCAATTTCGGAATATCAAGTATTCTGTTGGTCTTCGGGTTAACCATCGGCTTGAGCTCTAGATTTTTCAATTTGACAATTGGAGATAAACATGTATTTTCCGAGTTGAGGTACTTTGATTCAAGTGTATATTTTCACTCAAAATCAGGTAACGCTAAGAAACGCCATACAGGTTCGATTGAATGAAAATTTCAATTTACTTTTTGCAGTGTATGAATTTTAATCATTTTGAAATTTTTCTAGGGCTCCGACGCTCTTTTTTTGTCTTGTTTTCTTTTCACGACTGTTTTGAAAAAAAAAACAATTTATTGTTGTTCAAAATCATATAATCTGTTGAAACTATTTTTAATTAGCTCACGATCAATCTCTCAGTCTCCCTTCCTCCCAAAAAATGAAACTGTAATCCGTCTTTTTTTGAAATTCTTTTTAAGATGGCAACAATGTTCTGACCTTTTGTTGCTAACTACAGCAACGGTCTACTCTTTCTATATTTTCTATTCGCTAGATTGATATGTCACTGTCAACAATATGTTATTACTGAAAAAACAGATGTGTCGAAAAAACAGCTGAATTTGGAGGTCTTCCTCGTCTTCGTTTATTGGAACAAAACGAGTTGGCAGAAAAGCTTTTGGGTCGGTCACCTTAATGTATTTCGCGCTCACCCGCTACAATCCGAAAATGTATTTCGGTCACCTTAATGTATTTGGTAAACCCGCTACAATCCCCTTTCCCTCAAAAAAATGCCTCCGCGCGCCACTGATGCCTCCCCTTCCCCGCCCCTGAGCAGCTATCGTTACTATTGATGTCTGTTTCTATCAATAATGTCGCTTTCAGACTTCGAATTAGCCAACTTAGTCTCAATGAGTCAAAATCAGCAGTAATTTTCACATATCAGATATTTGAGACAATAAAGTTACCGCAGTAAAGTTAAAATCAAATTAGATATGGCGGCAGAAGTCAATGATCATCAACAGTTACTATCTATGTCGGTGTTATTAGACAATAATGGAGGTCTTTTTAAAACACCGGTGATTTTTTATTGCTACTCCGTAAAAAAACTTCCTTATTAGGAAGTAAAAGATCTTCACTGCCCTAATGTCTGAAATCTTCATCTAATTGGCATTATTAGTCTTATTTCTCGCTACTTGGCAACGTCAGTTTGCCTTCAAGTCTCAAGTTCTTTTAAACTGACCATGGAGTCCAATTACTTCCGATTTGGTATCAAATTTATACTGGACTGGCATTGAATGCGAGTCCATCGTGTTACTTAAGACTTTTTCCTTGCTGCTAATTTGCAACTGAAAACTACCAAATAACTGAATACTGAAACTCACAGGTTAGTTATAATATACTTCTGGTATGAAATTAATAGCACTATATATGTTAACTAATTGAAGCAATGTTTCCGTGTCCCAACATTATTGCACATCAGTCTTGCAAATTTTTTTTAAACATCAGTGGCGCGCGGAGGCTTTTTTTTTGAGGGAAAGGGGATTGTAGTGGGTTTTCGAAAACTATCTGGGCAAGTTAGTCGATGTTTTTTAGGTCGAATACTGTGGTTTTTCCCAGCTTTCCCAAAACACTATACACATTATTTGGAGCACAAAAAATCTTTAAAAAAAAACAGATAAAAAATGCTGCTTGGAACGTTCTCGCTCAACAATATTAGTGTCTGCTGGCGCCAAAGGTGCCCTTGGAAATTTTTAAGTGTTGGACAAAAATTGCTGACACAAAATAGTTCAAAGTTATTCCGGCTCCTCCCTTCCCCCTTCCTCGCCATGCTATTATCAAACATGTTTTGTACTTGTACTCTAATTTTGGGACTGGAGGAAGTTTAGTATAAATGAAGGATTTATTTACAGTGTAATTATTATGCACCATATCGGTTCTTTCCTTCACTTGATATTCGTTCGGTGATGGTTGATGAAAAGTTTGATGTGATCTGCAACTTCCGCGCTCAGAAGAAGCATTTGCATTACGTTCTCGTAATGTTCGCATTTCCTTTTGTATTCGTCTCTGTCCTTTGTCATTTTCTTCAACGTGTCGTCTCGTTGTTTGTCTTTTTGCGTTTTACTCTTCCTCGACTCCCGACACGACAAATTGTTTCGCAGTCGGTTCAAAGAATTTTCTTCATTTTTGGTCAGAACACGCTTCGACTTCTTGTCCTCGAGCTCTTTAATTCGTTGTTTCAGTTTCACGTTGTCGGGGTCCTTTTCCTTGTTTCTCTTCGACTGTTTAGATTCCTGGTACGGAGTGTCTTCGTAACGCTCAGTTGTATCAGATGACGCCGGTGAAGTTTCAGCGAACTGGCTTTCGGTGAAATCTGGTTCAGCTTGCTGTGAACTTCCGAAAACGATATCGGGATTCAAAGCCTCTATATTGTTACGATTCTGCAACTCCTGGAGACTTTGTGGGTCGCATTGTTGTGCGTTTGCCAGTACATACGCGCCAGTTGGGAACCCAGGGGTGTCCAAAGAAACGTTCTGGACAGTCGGAGAAACCACTATGTAGCCTTGCATTTGCGTATACGACTGGACGTATTGACGGGTCACTGCCATATTCGCTTCATTTTTGAAAATTGTTGGAACCCCGCTCAAGTCAGTGGCCCCATTTGGAGCTCCGCTTGGGGGCGATTGCATGGTAATGAAGTTGGCCGATGATGGAGGCTCTTCCATGTTCACAAGTGGTGGATCCATCACCTTTTTCGTCTCCATGACTGAACCATTCATGATTCCTTTTTGCAGTGTAGACAATTCGTGATAGTTCATCGGGGGGTGTCTCTGATTGTCCTCTTTCTCCTTTTCCAGACCAAAAAGGTCTTCAAATAGTTCGTCCGGAAACTCCTAGTAAAATCAACTTTAGTATCTCGGTAACTTGAAAAAAAAGGTAGCTTGAAAAAAGTGGAAAACAAGGTTGATGACAATTGATATTTCCAAAATTAAGTCAGCTGTTTTGCGGAGTGTGTCATGATTTACCCCTCATGCATGTCGCCTCTCTTAATTTTAGTGGCACGTTTCGCCCCTCATATTTTGCGCCACGTTCATTACGGAACTTTGCGTATATTATATTAGGAGAGGAATGTTGCGACTAAATCTAAGAGGGGCAGATTGTGTGAAGACCAGTTGTTTTTTTGTCTACTTTTGCGAACTGTCTTGGGCTAATTCATCGAATTGTGTAAACGGTGGGGGCGCTGACAGTTCTTTCTCTCGTAATAATTTTTTGGCATGACTACAATTTCTGTGCCTTCGGTTATCGCTAATATCAAAAAACCTATTTTATGATAAATTAATCTATTTGAACTTCAGTTTTTCAAATCAGAATCGTTAAACATTCCTGTTGACTATATGACTGTTGCACAAAACCGAAGACCTTATTAAAAGAAAATGAATTATAGCAGCACAGCCAAGTTTTGCTGTTAAATTCGTGCAGATATACAATAATTTTGTTTTGTTTTTTTTAATAATTTTTTCCAATATCGGTTGATGTTTTTTTCCCAACACCCAATTTCGATTTCGCAATTTGAAAGCTCATGTATCTGCTTATTTTTTAATTGTTCAATATTAATTAAAATTGCCTGGATTTTTTCGCTTTCTTTGAGATTTCCGCATTTCTTCCGAGATTTTTTGAATACTCAATTCTGATTGGCTTAAAATAACTGAGTAATAAATTTCCATCATTCATCCCACCATCATGAGTTACGCCTCTTCATGAATCTTTTTCGTCCCATGCTCTTTCCGATTTTGGGGTGATTTTTTAAATATTTGGAGGCAAACAATATTCAACTCTTTTGAATGAATTCGTCATCAATTTTTTCAAATTTCTACAAACTATTTGTTTTACTGATATTTTGCTCAGTTTTTTTTTTGTTTATTACCGGCCTTAAAATGGTTTTTTCTTTCTCGAATCAAAAAACATTGAGTCAAAATTTAATTATTCGCGAATTTATGTTCAAAATAATATAACTAACGAAAACTATAATGATTCAAATGTTAAGAAACTGTATTGTCCATCGCGTTTATGCTAAAAGCTGAACCTGAACAAACAAACTTTTTCGTTTTCACGGTCTTTTTAAAAGCATTTCTAATTTCAAGGTTTAGGATAACAGGTTTGGGACTATTTTCCAAGCATCAATTAACATCCCGATATACCATAAAGCCATAAAGAAGCCAAGAAATTGACAAGAAAGTCCATGAAATGGAGATATTGTTCAAAGAATTCTTACAACTCCGAGAGCAAGTGTATTGTAATCGTAATTTTTTCCTGTGTAAAACGTTCATGCAAAAATGTTACATATTCAACTTGCTTTATCATTAGACCTTCGCAACTTGCAGCGTCTGAAGGTAAACTGGTTGCCGTTGCATCTTGAGGTCCTGAATTCGAGTCCCGGTCGGACCTTGTTTATTTTTATTATGCATGGGAGTGAAAATTGAACTGTTGTACTTTCGTTTGTTGGCTTATTTTTTGTCAACTTGTTTTTGATAATTGCAATATTCAAAGCATAGATTTTTTCTGATCTAAAAAAGTTCTTACCATACATTACAGTCGTCCTGTTATTTCGTCAATTTATCAGTTCGGGTTTTGATTGTTTTTTAATTTTGTTTTCGATTATAATGGTTTGGGTTTGTTTTTATCTGGTAAATCAACTTATTTTGTGTCGGTTGAATTGAAGGGAACAATTGATTATCATTTTTTAAAAAAAATAAATCAAATCGATTGTGGTGTGAAGCTCAGTTTTTTTAGTGAAAGTTGCTGCTTTTGGCGCAGTAGGCGACTACCCAAGTACTGACCGCTTCGTTAAGTATTATCGAAATTAAAATTAAACAAGACTGCTCGTATCAGGGCGAAGCTCTGAATGTTCCGACCGCCTTTTAATGTTTATGGAGCAGTATTAACATATAAGAAATTAAATGAAATAAAATTTGAATTTTTTTATGAAAATCATCCCCCACACGCCATATCAAGTACAAAAGAATAGATTTCGCTCCTTGTAACAAATCAATTATGGCAAATAGGCTTCTTTCAACCAATTTGGAACGATTTCTAAGACGGATTAACTCTCCGCTTACGCGTTAATAGCCCCATAACTTTACGAAAAATGATCACAGGTGAAATATCTTTTCAAATTTAAGCTCAGGACAACAATACCTTTCGAATGATATAAAAAAAATCCGTCAAAAATGGCTAATTAAAAAGTCGGAATTTGTCTGAAGAAAAAAAAACCCACCCCGAGCACCAATATTCCGTTACTTTCGTATCGAAAGTCGGAACAATTAAATTAAAAGCTTATTGCTGTTAGTTGTGACTACGTTTTTGGATGTTCCATTTTTTCGTCTCTTTTTCTATCCACATGCTTGCAATGCTACCATTGCGTTGTATTGCAAGTTAAAGAGATCTGACTAGCCAATGCCGAATGTGAAACTAATAACGGTAACTAACAAAAACACAAGTAATTGTGTAGATTGAGCGTAACATGTTATTTTGAAACATGACCGTGGTTTAATAGGGAAATATTGATGGGTCCCTGACAAAAAATGTGTGCATTTAAATCTTTGGAAACCGTTTTTGCATCTGTTATCCTGAGTTTGAGATTTTCAAAAAAATGGCTGGACCCACTTTCATACTTGCCTTTTAGGGACCCATATATCGGACTTGTACCTATCCGATTATTCGGCTTTGTGGCAAGCCGCCGCCTCTATTGGCGGGGGAGGGGAGTGGGAAACTTCGTGCTAGGTAAATAAGACGATAAGACTTAAAGACGACCTGTCATTATGATAAGAAGTGGGAGTGTAAATTAACTGTTCGAGTTTAAGCGAACTACATTTCTCAGAAATACAATTGGAGAATTTGTGTGAGGCGTCGTCTTTAAGTCCCACCAAAAGCGGATATCGTCGTTACAGCTGTCGTCTTAATTGGCGGGGATCTTAACTTGGTCAATCAGAATGTTAATAGTAATGGACTTACATGCATGACAGATTCGCCTTTTTCGGCTTCCTCCATTTCTCCGAAGAATTCAGCCTGGCTCATTCTGAAGCCTGTTCGCTTTTTGAACAATTGAAGAATAAATTGTCACAACTGTTGTCACTATTTTTTATTTTTGTCTCGGTCGACAGACTAGTTTTGATTATTCTTACTCGCCTACGCAGTCTGATTAGTTTGAAAATAAAATGACTGAATAAAAATAACGCTTTGATTATTTAACGTCTAATTATATGACTAATATAATACGTTAAGACACGCCGAGTCAAAATGTCCGATTTTTCTGGATCTTTGCAAGTTCGCTAAATTACGGTTTTGTATATTAAAATATTGTTGGTAATTCTGTAATATGCTCGTATTAATACCGCCGAATTTGTTCTAATGGCTAAAAATAATATGACTGAATATTTACTCATCTATTTGCTGGTTTTGTGTGAATAAGAAGTACATTTACAGCGGTTTTGCTTGTTGAATTCCATTTCCGAGAAGCTTTGTGAGCTTATATGCAAGTCTGTCGCCAGAATACAATACTTCAGATGTTTTAAGACTGAAAATCAAGACTGAAAATTAGTCCAATCTAACATACAGTGCGTTGTATGAACGATTTTCTAACTGCAAGCTCCAGTTATATCATTTTCGTTTTTTTCCGGACCTTCGGTTTTCGTTTCTGGCCAAACTTCGCAGCTTCGTACTCAAAACAACGAGCATCATTACGACTCAATTTGACTTAGCTCGGCGAGCAAGCGAGAAGTTTCAATCAGAAATGAACCGAGTCTTGATTTTACTTCATATTTATACTCTGATTAAGTTGATCAAAAATCAATGATAGATGATCATAAACGTCTATAAATGGAATATGGATGCAAAAATTTGTCATTGGCTATAAAAGGTTTTGTTTGGACTTAATTGGCAGTTTGACTAACTATGAGCTGTTTTTTTTTAATGATTAATCACTTCGTTCGTTTTCTGATTCTTAGTGAGTATTTATGATAATTGTAACTGATGTTATTTTTCTATTTTTATTAGATGACTAACGCACGTTACCGTTCTGAACAGATTGTATGCCTTGTAAAAACTGATTGGGTAAAGCTCATTTAAGTTAATCGATTTATAGTGGATTTCGACATTTTTTTCCGTCGAAAAAAAAAGCGTTTGTTTCTGCCTAAAAATATCGATTCAAGTTCTATTTATTGTTCCGACTTTCGATACGAAAGTAACGGAATATTTGTGCTCGGGGTGGTTTTTTTTTTCTTCTGACAAATTTCGACTTTTTAACTAGCCATTTTTGACGGAATTTTTTTAAAATCATTCGAAAGGTATTGTTGTCCTGAGCTCAAATTTGATATGATATTTCACCTGTGATCATTTTTCGTAAAGTTACGGGGGTTTAAAGATTGCCATTTTGGCCAATTTGGGACAAATAACGCGCGATATATTTCGCGCTATTAACGCGTAAGCGGATATTTAATCCGTCTTAGAAATCGTTCCAAATTGGTTAAAAGGAGCTTATTTGCCATAATTGGTTTGTTACAAGGAGCGAAAACTATCCTTTTGTACTTTATATGGCGTGTGGGGAGATGATTTTCATAAAAAATTTCAAATTTTAGAAATTTTTTTTTTGATTTTGTTTTTTTTTTGCATTGAATTTTTTAATGTTATTACTGCTCCATAAACCTTAAAAGGCAGTCGGAACATTCAGGGCTTCGCTCTGATACGAGCAGTCTTGTTAATGTTTTAATGATGATTTTTTTTTAGCCTACAAAATGCATTTCCAATAAAATAAACAATTCATCTTGTTTGTTCCTTGGCTTCGGATCTCATCCCATTGAAAAAAAACCTTGATTTCATTTTGAAACCGTAAAATTAAGACAGTAATGTGCGCACAAAATTATCATTTTCATTTTCATTTTTGCCATCGGGAACTAGTGTTTTTCCCCGGAAACAACTTTTCCCGTGCAGCCTGACTTGCTCCATTCTTGAAAGATTACATGAAACTACTCTAAAATTATTTAAGGCAGTAAATAATGCTTTCAAACAAACTTAGTTTCAAACCTTTTAGTTTCCGAGTTTTTAGATATTTCTTACATTTTAAAAATAACTTAGAAATAAAAAACTTCCTTAAGTTTGAAATTTCCATTTCTATAGTCAGGCACTGTCTGGGACTCTCCGGTGTTGCAAATCTTGCCTCTTAATATGACTGCTCAAATCCTTTTAGTTTCCGAGATGTGACGTTTTTCATGATTTGTTGAAATATTGTCGGAAAACTTAGATTTAAATATTCACAAATGGAAATTTGCTAAAACCTGAAATTCCCAAACCTATAGTTGGGTTTTCTCACGATTTTCCTGGGATTGCAAGTTCGGTCCCAAAATATGATTAACCTAATCTTTTTAGTTCATGAGATTTGATGATTTTTTCAAAATTTTCAATAAAAGTTGGACTCGAAAAATTTAACAAAAGTTAAAATTCGCAACCCTTTAGAAGTGTGCTTCTTGATTAACCCTCAGAGGTTGCAAATCTATATGGCAGCCCAAATACTTCAAATTTTCGAGATAGGCATTCTCTTATGATTTTGATAATTTAAATGGCCAGAAGTCGAAATTCTCATCTATCAAGGGGCGCTGTCAGGGCTCTTCCATGGTTTGCAACTCTGAGTCTCAACTTTGAATTACCTTATTCCTTTGGTTTTCGAGATATGACTCTTTTTAGTGATTTTCTCAAAATTTTTTGAAAACAAACTTAATTCTGAAACTCTATAAAATTGGAGATATGACCGTTTTACTTAAAAAAAACGTGAAGCTTGAGTTAATTTTAAATTCGTTCAATTAATGAAATAGATGCCGACGGTATATGTCATCGTCTGTTTTTATGATTGCATTCAATTTCGTTTTTTAAAATATTTTTTATATACATGCATTTTTCAGGTTCACTAATCTGTTCGAAGCTTCGGAGGTACAAATTACACGCTAGTAATTGTTAAAGCTTAACGATTTTGTTTCGCCAGCTTGCGAGAGTAATTGATTCAATTGGTTATATATAAGACGTGTCATGTCAACTTGCCGAAAGGTCAGGTTGCCGAAAAAAAACATCCTAAAAACTAAGTTTCTGTCTTTTCGTCATTTTATTAGGCTTGCGATTAACAAGTTTGTTTATGTTTAGTGCGGCAATACTTATACTTGCAATTTTTCACGTGAAGTATAAGTGTGTTCAATGATGCCAGTCAGTTTTTTATCTCAGTTTTGTAGAGTTGTTTATTTTGTTTGTTGAGATTTTTTTTCAGTCTTATATTGGCTTCCTCGCTGATTATTGAAAAGAAGAACCCCACTGAAAAATTTAGCATGGCGGAGTTTTTTGAGCCCTCATAGTTCTTCATTTTCAAAAGAATACGCGTTAAGTATCACTAAAGCTAGAAAAACGAAAATTAAAGGGGAAGCTGGATTGGGTCTCAGGGATATGAAATTTCCCAGAAAGGCTATTTAGACGGGCGGGATGTGTTCTTGGTGATTATTGCAAGAAACTGTCTCTAGCAATCTTTGAGGGTGAAATAGTTTTCTGAATTATTTTCTTGTAGGAGATAACAACTGTTTTTGTGATCATTAATGAGTGATTTTCCTGAGTTAATTTGTTTCTCGAAGAAAAAATATGTCACTTGTTTATTCATATATACAGCGATAAATGTTGATGTATTTTTAGAAAGCGTTTGTTTGAATTTGTTTTTACACCCCTGCTTGATCAGCAGCAAAACCGCTAAATCAGTGCTGTTTTGCTGCTGTAGTCTCACTTTCGTTTGCTGCAGACAAATTTTTTGTTGTGAAACTCGAATAATTTGAAAGAAAAGTTGCTGTTCATCCAACAACGGAAATCAAATCAATGTGAAAAAGGCTGAACTATCTCTGGGGACTCTATCAATGCTCTGCCAATTCAGTTTTCTGTATAGTACCTACTTAAACTGCTCGAAAAATACTGTTTAACTATCGAGCCAATCTGAAACAGCTCGTCTAGAGTGGTTACGGAAAGATCCAGCAAGTTCTCAGAGCTCACCAACCTTTTAAATAATGGCTTATTGGGTCTATTGCAAGCTGCTAGTTAAGGGATCATAACACCTTCACATCGAGTCGAAAACATAGACACACTTCTAGCTGCGACTGACAAATGATACCCTTAAAGCAATCTAGTGGTTGACCTAGCACAATTAAACGAGTTTTTTATGGAAGCAGGAGCTCTCCTCATGCAGTTGAGTACCCCGAATGGATTAAACGCTTGCGTGTCATAAAGCAAGACTGATAGGTCACAGTGTAAGTGTAAGTATCTTTGGAAAAATGTCAGCGACGAGTATGTGAGCTATTTTACCAAACATCCCTTCTCAGCGCCGACAAAGAGATTTTGTGCGTGCGGGTGAGCCAATGGCTTTACAAGTTGGTAGATGAAAACCAAATTTGCTTGGAATTGGGTAATTATCTTGCTTAACAAAGAATAATGAAAAAATTAAAACAGATTTCTCGAACGGAACATTACTAGGCTTGTTGAAATGACATTGCTGGTTGAATTCTATGACCTAAATGTCACGGCTCCTCTTCAGCTTGTTTTAATATGTTGTGGTTGCACCAGCAACGCTTTAGTTATTATTAAGAAGGCCAAGTTTTTCCGTTGTAAGTTTTACCATTATTGTCTTAAATCTGTGTTCAGATCAGTTTCTATTTGACAATTTTCAACAGCAGCAGTTTATACGCTTAATTAAAAGCTAGTTAGTGCTGCTTTGATAAGGGTATGGACAGGGCTCTTGGCACCGTCGCTTAAGTAAGTTACGGTTGCTCTCGATCAGGAGATGGTTCGATTTCTGAGGTACCGATTTTAACATGCTTTTAAAGAATTTTTTGAGCTGTTGGTTCGAGTTCTGAGGTACCAATTTTGTCTGGCGTTTTAAGAGCTTTTTTTAGCAAGTGGTTCGAATTCTCTGGAACTGATTTTTAAATGCTTTTTAAGGATTTTTTGATCTGGTGGTTTGAGTTCTGTGGTACCAATTTTTTCTTGCCTTTCATGAGCTTTTGTGCGCAATGTCAAGCACCAAGTCTGAGAAAGGGTTCCCAAATCTCTGTAATTTTGATCAATTGTAGTAAGTAACTTAATCAATATGCGCCGGTTGGTCGTTTCAAAAGTTTTTCTCAAACCTAATTAGCCTGCCGCCTCATTTGCGCTATTTTGTTCCACATTTAAGTTGAAATTACCCGAGCAATAAATTGAACAGGTTTGAGTCACTTTCTTTAAAGAAGGGACCTAGTTAGTTTCTTGGGACCCCTCTATCACACTTGTGCCAAAAAATGAAAAATTCCAAAAAAACGCCTTCTAACCCTCTTGAGAAAATCCCAGATCCACCCGTGGCTCAAACGTGCCTTATTTTCTTCAGAAATAAAAAACAATACTTTCAAAAGGTCATCGTCTGAAAAAATTCTATCTTTCTAACCTTTAGCACCTTAATACCTTCCGATTTCACTCCCTACTTTTTATTTCCTTAGCGATTTATAACCACTACATTTTAAATTTATTTTCATAACTTAACACCGTTTTAATTTATAATTAAAAGTGAATTTTCCTCCAAAGTAACTTCGCTAAATACCAAATTTCTAGCTATTTAAAGCCAGACATTTTTGCGCTATTTGATTCTTGTAAGTTAAGAACAGAAATGACCTGGCCAATCATTGGGGTTGTTAAAATGATTCGAACCAAAAACCAGCAATAATTCAAGGCTCGCAATTAATTAGACATTCTTTAAT